ATTCTTGATGTATAATGCAACAGCTCCTCCCTTTCTTCCATGCCTGTTCTTCCTCAACAAGCTATACCTCTCTATACCAGTATTCCAGTCATGAGATTTATCCCAACAAGTCTCTGTGATCCCAATTAAAATCATAATTCAGTTTATGTACTAATACGTCCAGTTCATTTCCCATACTCCTTGCATTTGTGTGTAGACATCTAAGATGCTGAACAGATTTTCCTACTGTTGTTCCTAGGACCTTACTGTAATTTTCCATGCTTCCCCCCTGCCACCCCACAACATCTAACCCTCTGTTAAGGTTGCCTTTTTTATGTTTACCTGGTGGCATTTGTCACTGCCACTTTTAAACTTTGTTTAAATCTCTACTCACCAGGTTGGCAGGTCGATGCACAAATATGTTCTTCCTCTTCTTGGTCAGATGGATCCTCTCTCTTTCCAGCAGTCCTCAGAACAATGTGTTCAGTTCCTAGGGTGATCAGGGATAATCTAAAGGTACAGACTGGAGACCGAGGACACTGTTCTTTCTTCCTACACTGGGACAGGAATGGAAGAAGATTGGGTGGAAGTGGTGTTCTTAGCCACTGCTTCCTACATTCTGGCACAGTCTGGAGCCTGCCCAGCCCATGATGTAAGTAGCTCTTAGTCTCAGTACAGTGTCTCTGGCTAAGCCCAGACCCTTCCCCTGGCCTGCCCCTTTCCTCCCAATATGGAGGGACTTGGAGCATAGTTAGCCTTAGAGGCCTTTTGCCAGCTCTACATCAATGGGCAAGGCCTCATGCTCAGAGGATATTCTCAGGGAGCCACTCCTGCCCCCTTTAACACCCATTTGTACTGCCAGAGTGACACAAAGGGGCTTTAGTGTAACTGTAAATTGAGCCCCAAGCATGGATAAAATAGGCCTCTGACACAAGTTAGGGTCTAATTTGGGCATAATTCTCTCTTCCTCTGCATGGTAGAGGCAGTGAAAGTGATCACATTGGCAATCAACTATCATACACATTTCAGATAGACAAACTTTCCACTAGAAAATCACATTGCTATATATCAGATTTACTCATTTCCTCCCCATCCTTTAACTGGCCTCAAACATGCTATCTGTAAGCTCATCATATGCTAAATGCTTTAAAAAGACAATGCTCTCCAAGTACTTTCTGTCAGTATATTGTATATAATCACAGCAATATGCATTTCATGATGGTACAGATATTACATGCATATCTAGAAATTCATTAAAAATGATCAGAATACCCAAGTATTTTTCTGGGGCCAAATCACTATTCTCCCAAGTCTGACTCTGAACAGAGGGTTCAGATGGCCCCATTAACAAGGAGGGAATTTGCTGAGGGTTCTGAACAGGGATCTTCCACATGAGGTTCATAGAAGGTTCAGGACCTTCTTTTTCCGCAGCAGAACTGCACTTGTTCATCTGATTTACAGCCCACAGGAGAAAGCAACATTTGGTTCTCACACCTTAAAGAATTATAATGTAAATGTAAGCACTACAACAAAACAAATAAATAATAATGTAGGTATTCTGTTGAGTTCTTTTACTTATTTCTTAGAGCTTATTCAACAACAGCCAGTCCCTCCTATGGTACCGAGAATCCATTCAGCAAGTTGATGGTTCTCAAATACACAATATGAAAATTCAATTCCCACAGAAAATTAGAAGCTTCTAAGGTAACTATGGGCAGACACAGCTCTCATTTTTATATATAAATCTGGGAGTGACTGATAAGTAAAGATGTTGACTTTAGATACTGAATACTGGAACTGGAAACAATTAAAGTAAAGTGCGGAGGACTGGCTGCTATAATCTTTAAAAATTGCACATCACAGATTAAGATCAACTATAAACTGATTAATTCAAACAGGATAAATAGAATTCACACAGATTACTGAACTTGTCACCTTTTTCATTTGGAGAACTGGAATTGATTCAAGTTAACTGACTGACCCATAAAATTGTTCAGTTCAAATGCTTCTACTTAATAGTATTAAGTGACTGGCTGTAGTCATTAACTGTATCAGCAGAACAGTAAGCCTGGATGAGCAATTACAAAATACCAGTAAGTCCTGAACAACTGGCTAGTTGGCAGGCATGACTACATGTTCTTCACTAACTTTGAAACTCATCCTAAAATGTGTATTTCTAATGCAACAAAAATAATAATTTGTAATTAAATTCAAAACATCCCAGTTAGGAACATACTATTATGTTTACTGTACCGCTAGGTAACCTGAGAATGGAGTGGTTAAGTCACTTGGCAAATGTCAGACAGCAAATCAGTGGCAGAACCAGAAATCAAAATCAAGGGTATCTGCTTCCAAGTCCCTTGCTCTAAGAAAATATTTGCAGATGACATTAGTTCGAAAGGGTTGATCCTAAGTATGCTAGGCTTTATGTTCTCTTAACATAACAGAATTGTGTTCATACTTTTGCATTGAGCCTTAAATGTATGCTAGGAGAAAATCCTTATCTAAATTAAGCCATGTGGATCACAGAGAGGCAGCTGCAGCTTCCATTAACTAGACCATTCTTTCTTTCCCTACTAATCCATGTGATTCATTGCTTTAATCATTATGGGCCTGATTCTTCCACTCGTTACCACAGGGAGTGGTACCTACTCATGTGAGCAGTCCTACTGATTCCAGTAGAACTACTTGTGTAAGTACTAACTCAACAAGAGTAAGGTTGGCAGAAATGGTCCCTGTCATTAGTCATACTGTGGTCTAAGTTCTGACCTCATTAGTGTCTGTGCAAACTTGCTGAATTTAGTGGGAAAAAATGAGGGCAGAGTCAATGTATGTTTTGGGCCTGTATCTTGATACAATTTTAAGACTCATTTGGTATAACTTCTGCTTACAGACAATAAGATCCCCAGTTTGAATGTCTGCTCCTGTAACATGTAGAATTTTCACTAAAAACAGCTACTGAACAGGGTCTTCATTAATCAGTTAAGGCTGTTTTAGTGTCTGCCAAATGTGGCAATTTAGCATCAGCAGGGAAAAATACAAAATGGAAGGACTACATTTGCTAGCAACTGTATTTTTTTTAATCAAGCACCTGGTTTATTCTGTGCTAAGGTTGCAGTCAAGTTAGTTCTTGAGCATTATGATAACTGTTGTGTATCACCCAGTCACAGATTTCCAACACATGTATTTTATATAGGTAGACATTCAGTAAAGTGTGTGAACCATTTTGAACTGGATGACCATGGGAAACAGCCACCAGAAATCGAGATGTCAGTGCTGTTGGTATTTCATTCCTACAATTCAGACCATTTCCCAAATAATCTGGAGTATAACAGAACTGCCTAGAAACTCAAGTCAAGAACTTGGTTATAGTCCTAGTTCTGCTATTCATTCACTGGATGATCTTGGGCAAGTTACTTCTGGTAAAAGTCTGTCAATTTCACATAGTCCACCAGAAGTTCAGAGAATGAGAGAAGAGGGCATGTGAGCACAAAGTTCTCCCCCTTTGGATCCAATTGCAGGCTCAAGGCCTTGCTTTATAATTCCGATATATATATAGCATTTAAATTTATTAACCTATCATATATGTCCATAATGACAGGATGAAAAACTGTCCTGAATCTAAATCAAAGTCAAAGCTCAGGCTGCAACGCTTTCAAAGGAAATGAATTAAAATACAAGCAGTCTTCAGACCATATCAATGGCATATTTACTATATATGCATATACACTATTACAGTCTCCATACGGTTAAGGCCTTAAACATGCAGCAAATCCTCTCTGAGGCACACACTGAAGATAAACATAAAGGACAATTTTTGTTTAAGTATCAGATTGTTTCATACTTTCCATTTTGCTACGTAATGATAAATCTTATCTTTACTGGCTGGTAATCAGATCTAATGCCTACAGCACTCCATAGGATGTGTTCACTCCATGAAATACTTTTATCCATTTGAAGTAATTACCAAATAGGAATAGTCTCAAAGAATTATAAGGTGTTTCTAAGGCCTAAATCGACTTTTAGGCACTACCAATAAGTGCTAGATATAGGCCACCACCAGTATGCAGACATGCCAAACCCACAGAAAAAAAACAGAAATTGGGCTTATTTTTGGCTTAATTGACTTGTGAGTTGCTAGTTTTGGCTTGTAGCTTCTTTTCTTTCATCTGCTCCCGGCAAGCAGGGACAAAGGGGGTAAAGAGTCAGCGATGCACAGTGGGCCCACCACAGTCCCAGACTGCAGACCCTAGGGATCTAGTCACTTAGTGTTGGGGTTCTTAGAGATTGGCTTGTTTTGGCCTTGTTTTTTGGCTTATTGTAAAAGTTGTTGTGCTTATTTACGGTGTGAAAGTTGGCAACTGTACAAGCACAGGGCAGTCAGTGCTGGCAGCAATTCCAGATTAGTCTTTTAACAGCGCCTATGGCTAACTGGTAAGGAGCATCCATCCTTCTCAGCGGCAGCCCGAGAGCCAGGAACATCCCCTCTGGTTACTGGGTCTTTAACAACCACCAATGTAGTGTGCCTGGCTAAGGCGCCCCACGGGAAGGGTGACAGGAGCCGCTGTGCTGCGGCTGCCTCACAGAGCCCGGCCCCCTCCGGGCTAATGGTGGGGCCCGGTGCTGCACTCGCGTCCGGGACCGCGGCATGGATGCTGGGGCAGCCCAGCTGAGGCGAGTGCGGCGCCGCCGCAGGCTCTGCCCCAGGGGAGCCTCTCGCAGGCTCGGGGGCCGTGCAGCGGTAGGCCAGTCTCAGCAGCTGGGCGTCGCGGCCAAGCCAGACGGGCCTCGGCTCCTCCTAGCAGGCTGGGAGCGAGCGGGCTGAGGGTGAAGGGCCCTAGGGCCGGGGTAGACGCAGCTTGGCTGGGAGCGGGGCACCAGGGCCGGGCCTCATGGTGAGGAGGCGGAGCAGGAGCCGGGACTGGGGGCCGCCCGTCTGCCTGGGGGGCGGGAGCGGCTGGCGGAGCAGCAGTAGCGGCGGCTTGGGCCGCAGGGAGGCGCCTGAGCGGCTGCCCCTGAACATGGCGGCGGCGGCGGCTGCTCCTCCCGCGGGTGGCGGGGGCTGCTGCCCGGCCGGGCCCGGCGGCGGCTCGGTGCCCGTGCTCTTTTGCTTCTCGGTCTTCGCCCGGCCCTCGACAGTGCCGCACGGCGCCGGCTACGAGCTGCTGATCCAGAAGTTCCTGAGCCTCTACGGGGACCAGCTCGACATGCACCGCAAGTTCGTGGTGCAGCTCTTCGCCGAGGAGTGGAGCCAGTACATCGACCTGCCCAAGGGCTTCGTGGTCAGCGAGCGCTGCAAAGTGCGCCTGGTGCCGTTGCAGATACAGGTGAGACCCACCCCCGCCAGGGCCAGCTCCCGTCCCACAGCTTCCCGCCCTCTCTGTGCCTGTCTAGCTTGGAGTTACGGGCTCCCTGGAGCACGCGGGGGTCACTGTCATTCTCTGAGGTGCACGCCTCCCACCCTGTCTGCATGAATACACTCCCGGCATCTCTCAGCCTGCAGGGCCCCCGCTTTGGGTTCCCCCTCACCCCCATTCCTTTAAAGACTTTCCCAGCGCGCTTCAGGTCTCCTTAAAGCCCCACCACCCTATTGCTGGAACTAGGGGTGCTGGGGGTGTGGCAGCACCTCCTGGCTTGAAGTGGTTTCCATTATATACAAGCGTCAGTTTTGTTCAATGGCTTTTAGCACCCCCGCTATAAAAATTGTTCCAATGCCCTTCCTGCCAACCACCTCTCTCTCAGGCACACACCCCTTTTCACACCCACTGTCTGCTTCTCTCTAAAGTCCACATACGCTGTTGAAACCCCCTCCTGTAGCCACCCCCTCTTATGTAACCTGCTCTAAAATTTCTTTTGGAAAATTAACGTTGAAGAAATATAATCCCAATTTCTCTTAACATGCATACATAGAATTCTATGTCCATAGTTATGACCAGAGTTTAGGAATATGATTTATTAGCTCTTATCACTTTTATTGTTGCCCAAACAGTTAAATGACAAATATAGTTATCCTCAAGAAATCTGAGCTTCCACATGTTGCAATAAATGTCTTTGTTTTAAAAATGACATAATAGAGAAGACAGGTTATAAAAATGATTGCATAGCAGTGTCTGAGAGTGCCATGTTTCCTGACAATCTTTTAAATTGTAATAATGATTTGCAATGTCTGAGGGAAACTTCAGTGCAGAGTAAAAAAAGGGATTAGGCAAAATCTAAATCCATGAGGAAGCAATACAGCAAACCTACATTTTATATTATACTGATGCATTTATATTATTAAGCCCATAACCTAATGCACTTCACAGAAACACATGTATCTTACAGCCACCCTTGAATCTTGGTTTTATATTTAATGAATCAGACCATATTTTCCCCAAAGGTGGTACAATACATAAAACAGTAAACATTTGTCATTTGAAATAGACAACCTGTGCAATCTTTCTTTCAACTAAATTTGTGCTAAGGTGGAATTGAGGTTGGGGTCAGGGTTCAACATTGAAAACAAAGATTAATCTTTAATTACAAATTTTATTGTGCCAGAGCTTTGTACCATGCACTACATGTCCCCAGTTTTATATTCAGTCCTGCTTCTGATAAGTTATAGGATAGTAACTCACTGGTTTCATGGCAGACTGCTAGACAGATATAGTACATGTTTTTCATAACAGAGATTTATGCCAGTCGTGCTGTAATGACTGCATTCAGAACAAAATTGCCTTACTTTTCCCTTTTTCCAGTTTAGGGGGTTTTAAAACATCAGCTATTTTTCAATAATGAAAATGTGAATTTTATATGGAGAGGAATGTTCAGGTTTTAGCTGTAGTCAATTAATTTTCCTCTGTCAGGCAGAAATTCTGGATGAGTTGGAAATACAATGTAAAAAATGAATATTTTTTATGATTTGGAATACGGCTATTCTTTGTATCACCAGACAATACTTATTGGAATGTTATTCATAAATTAGCCTTAATAATAGAGTCCTGTGCCCTAGCAGGTTATCAGGTCAGATTCCCTCTACCGCAGTGGCTCTCAAACTTTCCAAATTACTGTACCCCTATCAGGAGTCTGATTTGTCTTGCGTACCCCCAAATTTCACCTCACTTGAAGACGACTTGCTTACAAAGTCAGACATAAAAATACAAATAGTGTCACGGTACACTATTACTGAAAAATGGCTTACTTATTTTTACCATATAATTATAAAATAAATGAGTTGGAATATAAATATTGTACTTGCATTTCAGTGTATAGTATATAGAGCAATATAAACAAGTCATTGTCTGTATGAAATTTTAGTTTGTACTGACTTTGCTAATGCTATTTTATGTAGCCTGCTGTAAAACTACGCAAATATCTAGATGAGTTGATGTATCCCCAGGGGTACACATACCCCTGGTTGAGAACCACTGCTTTACCTAGTAAATACTGTTCCCTACACCCAGAATGTTATGTATTTTTGGTATTTCCTTTAGTCATGTGTCAAAGACCCCTCTTAGTATCTGTTCTTTGTCTAATTAGATTTACCGAGTCTCCCAAGGAAGTGATGGAAACCTCATCATTTGATATAGTCAAACCTAGGCAAGAAAACATACTATGTGGAACAAACATTAATAGAAGGAATGTCTAGAATTCTAAATTATTTTCCATCCCCAAATTTACTGTATGTTTGGGGATAGAAAAAGACTTCAGTCATAAGAACAACCATACTGGGTCAGACCAAAGGTCCATTCAGCCCAGTATCTTGTCTACCGACAGTGGCCAATGTCAGGTGCCCCAGAGGGAGTGAACAGGTAATGATCAAGTGATCTCTCTCCTGCCATCCATCTCCACCCTCTGACAAACAGAGGCTGGGGACACCATTCCTTACCCATCCTGGCTAATAGCCATTAATGGACTTAACCTCCATGAATTTATCTGTTATAGTCCTAGCCTTCACAACCTCCTCAGGCAAGGAGTTCCACCGTTGACTGTGCGCTGTATGAAGAAGAACGTCCTTTTATTTGTTTTAAACGTGCTGCCCATTAATTTCATTTGGTGGCCCCTAGTTCTTATATTATGGGAACAAGTAAATAACTTTTCCTTATTCACTTTCTCCACATCACTCATGATTTTATATATCTCTATCATATCCACCCTTAGTCTCCTCTTTTCCAAGCTGAAAAGTCCTAGCCTCTTTAATCTCTCCTCATATGGGACCCATTCCAAACCCCTAATCATTTTAGTTGCCCCTTTCTGGACTTTTTCTAATGCCAGTGTATCTTTTTTGAGATGAGGAGACCACATCTGTACCCAGTATTCAAGATGTGGGTGTACCATCGATTTATATAAGGGCAATAATATATTCTCTGTCTTATTCTCTATCCTTTTTTTAATGATTCCTAATATCCTGTTTGCTTTTTTGACTGCCACTGCACACTGTGTAGACGTCTTCAGAGAACTATCCACGATGACTCCAAGATCTCTTTCCTGATTAGTTGTCGCTAAATTAGCCCCCATGTATGTATAGTTGGGGTTATTTTTTCCAATGTGCATTACTTTACATTTATCCACATTACATTTCATTTGCCATTTTGTTGCCTAGTCACTTAGTTTTGTGAGATCTTTTTGAAGTTCTTCACAGTCTGCTTTGGTCTTAACTATTTTGAGCAGTCATCTAGCCATTGTTAATTTAAAGTGACATTATACTGCTGAGTTGAAAACATGAAAAGATGAGGTCCTCTCCATGAAACTGACCAATGAGGTCTTTCTGTCCAAATTGAGTTAGACAAAATAGACAGCTGTATAGTGACAAGAAAAATACAGGATTTTAAGATTTGTTTAAATAATTTAAGGTGGCATTAATGACACAGATAAGACTCCCTCCCCCACAAGTACAGGCCTCACTTCTGCAAAGACTTCTGCTGGTTGCTCCCTGTGTTGAAACCATTGACTGCAGTGGGATCCCCCACACCCACTTCTTAGTGGGGCCAGGCCATATCTTTTATCTTGAACTTGACATCCCTGCATACATCTCTTTGAAGAACTGGGCCATAATTTTTATCTTGACCTTGAAGAGTCAGTATTGTGATATCTGGTAATACATTCTTGTTAAACCTCATATACTTCTTACTCAGTTTTAGTCTAATACAGACTTTCCAAATGCTGTCATAATGTGGATCACATTTTAGTACAGCAGCAGTCTCCTGGGCAGCCTGCCCTCTTATTGGTGATGCCATTACATCTCTGAGGTTTTTCATGTAATTGTTTAGATGAAAAGGTAAAATTAGAGCAGTCTTTAATGTATCTTAGCTGTTTCTGAAAGTAATTTAGCAGCTGGTAATGAAACATCACCACGTGACCAGCCAATTCTGCTTGAACCACCAGCCAGTGCTCTCAGATCACACAGGTTGGGAACCTCTGGTCTAATACAATCACAGTTACATGTTTCAGATTAACTAGGAAACACAAGACAAAGAAAAAAGTCCCTCATCAGCATGAGTGCGATAGGTGTCTAGTGCAGTGGTTCCCAAACTTTAACAACCTGTGAACCCCTTTCACTAAAATGTCAAGTATTGCGAACCCCCTCCTAAAAATAAATATTTCCAGGGATTTTCTCCTTTACCTGAGTATAAATTATAAAAGCAGTGATCTCAGAAATATAAAATTTGTTTTTGTGACATGCTTATTACACACTATTTCTTATTAATTATTATTTATCATGATAGTATTTTTTTTATTACATTATGAAAACAGCAATACTCATCCAAGATCTCACTTTTGTAGCTTGTATTGCTTTGAATAAGCCTGTTATAAGACAAGGCTCCTATGTTTCATCAAGGAGTATCAGATGTGAAAAGCATGAAGGGGTTTAAGAAGCCAACTCAAAGAGTTCCTCCCACACAAACATTTAGGTCTTGAGCAGTCCAGGCAAACAACGCACGTTACAACAAAGCTTAAACTTGTTCTTCATAATAATTTTAAAAACAATACTAGCTGCCTATTTCATTTTAAAAACAGCCAAAAATATCCACCTCCCTTTCCATTTCTTATAAGGAGTCTTGACGTTTCAATCTCCTCAGTGTGATAGATAGGCTTGCTCTGATCTGCTTAGCTCTTGGAAGTCCAGGGGCTCTAGGCTGCTGGCCCCATGCTTCCCGGGGTACCTAGGGACAGCTCTGGCCGCCATTAGGGATTTTTTTCCCGAGAACCCCCTGTAACATTTTACCAACCCCAGTTTGGGAACCACTGGTCTAGTGCAACCACCCTCCCTAATATTTTATTTTAATAAAATGACTTTAGAAAAACCCCAATAACAACAAATGGCTGACTCCTTAACTTGTATAGTTTTATCATATGCATAGCCTAATCATCAGCCAATCAGATACCTCTTTCCATAAACTCATTGTAATTGTGATAGACATTTAGACATGGGGAGTGGAAGAGAAATTTGATTACTATACCAATTAATGCTCAAAAAGGGACAACACTGTATGGTTTCTTTTACTGAAATATTCAATTCCTTCCCACATCCCTCCGAAGTTCAGAAGGGTTGTAAACTCACTCTGCATTAATTTTGTCTCTGTATGTTCTGTTCTGAAAGCTACTTTACACTCTTCAGATTAGGATATGTCTATCAGGGAAACTTGCACTGGTGTACTTACACTGGTATACATACACTGATGTAAATTCCTAATGTAGACATGCTGCATTGGTGCAAAATGGGGCGTCAGCCAGTCAAATTCTTAATTGTCTGCCAGTGGTTGTACATAAGGCTGCAAGTATGTCACGGAAGTCGTGGATTCTGTGACCTCCGTGACTTCTGCAGCGGGTGGTACGGGCTCGGGCTGCCCGACTCGGGCAGCCCCTGGGTCAGCAACAGCAGTTTGGGTGTGTGGGCTCAGGGCTAGGGGCAGGGGGTTGGGAGTGTGGGGGGACGTTTACCTCAGGGTGGGGGGCTCTCACTGTCATGGCCCAGCAGCTCCTAGGTGGTAGAGGGGCTGGAGGGAGGCCTCCATGCTGCCTGTACCCACAGGCCCCACCCCGCAACTCACATTGGCTGCGGTTCCCAGGCAATGGGAGCTGCGGCAGCTGGTGCTTGTGCCCCTCCGCCACCTAGGAGCTGCAGGGATGTGGAGCTGGGTAGGGAGCCCCTGCCTGCTCTGCCAACCCTCCCCCTGCCAGCTTCAATTTTTATGCTTCAATTCCCTGTCTGTGAAATGGAGCTTCTACTTTCCTATTTCACAGGGAAGTTGTCAAGGTAAATTCAATAATGTTTCTATATAGTGAGTATAATAGAAAAGCCTGTGAGGAAATTAATAATTCTGTATTCAGTGAAGAATTTGCATGGTGTACAGTTATCAAAGCTTGGGACCACACATTGTATGAGGAGGATAAAATGAAATCTTGAACAATTGCCTCATTCCCTGAGCACTGTCCATTATATGCACTGATGGATGTGGGCGTCCTGGAAGGTGAAATAGTGTGACTATACAGCTAAAGACTGCATCATACTGCCTATGCACAAGCAACCTTCATTCTGCATTTCCTGGCTTTTGGATGTTTGACTTTCCAGTTTTATAAATGGTAATAACAGAAACAAAGTATTTATAACAGAATATTGTCACAAGAGTAATGTCTTCTGCTGGCAAAAATGTTTTGGTTTTTGCCTTGACATTTATGTAGAAACCATTATTTTGTAACATTATTCTCTTCCATCACCCAATCAAGAACTCTGTACATCACAGTGCTTTACAGTACCTCAAAAATAGTCTTAAAAACTCATCATTATAGTGACCTATGTGAAATTAACCTTAGTGCAGCCCTTAGTGTCCATTACACTACTGGTGCTATTAAAAGCCTCAGAGGACAAAGAGTAAATTGACATGTAAAACAAGCTATCATCTTGCTCCTAGGGGTGGTCCTTCCAACTCTGCATTCCAATACAATGTGGCCAAACTTACACTGCTGCTAATCATGAAATACATGTTCAGTTGTTTGAAGGCTCCAGCCGCCATACTGTTGTATTTTAGTGCTGATAAAACATACTATTTTAAAAGCTGAACTGAAAGGAAAAAAATGCCAAACAAAATAAACCAATGAACCTTTTTAATTCTTCATTCCATCTCCCTCCCCTGATCCCCTTTAGGAATATCAGGCCCTTGCTGTTCTCTTGGTGGAGGTGGTCCCCAGCAAGATCTTGAAAAGACCTGATGTCACATGACACTGTAACCTGATGCAGCTCTCTTGGCCCATCTAGAATAGCCACTTCTAGATCCCTGCCTAGAATATGATTTAAAATGTAGATTATCAAGTTACACACACCTTTAAATCCTAGTCTAGACAAGACCTAAGTATTAGAGAGTAGTTGGTTTTTCACATTCATTCAAGCTTTGGCCTCTGAGGGTGTGTCTCCACGGCAGTAAAACAGCTGACCCAGGCCAGGTAGGGCTATCTCAGGCCAACCATGGGAATTTTATTGCAGCATAGACATACCGTAAGACTACTATTTGTATAAAGTGTTACAGTCACTGTGGACTGCACTAACACCACACATTAATTTCACAAAGGTCACCATATATTCTGTTTCTAAATCAACTTTGGGGAATCATTATACATTTAGAATATTACCATTAAGAATCAGTATATCTACCCCTGTTATGGAGAAAATTGGGGAGGGTGAGGGTATGATGAGCTTGGCAGCGGAGGTGCTGCCCAAGTAACATCACCATTCCTCTTACAAACATCTGGCCAAGATTCTCCAGCAAAGAGAAGGAATTGAGGACCAAACAGTCTTGATATTTCATATTTGAAAGATGAAATACAAAAATATTTAGAAAAAGCTTGAAGCAATTTTTAGAATCATAAAGAAGCAGAAAAGGATGCATACAAGTTTTGGTTTTGCTTTGCTGTTCATCTTTACAAAAGTAAACTATATGAAAGGTTGCCCAACTATGTTTCACTATTCACAGAACAATTACTTACGCAACTATAAACTACTTTAAAATAAACCTAAAATAGTTCTATTGCACAGGGTCAAAGTGTAGACTTTTATGTGTAATTCAAAATTAAAGTTACAGATTTACCTAAATGAGTGTAGCATGTTCATGGAATTAAAACAATATGGAATTCTGCATGAAATATCAAACATGAACAAGGTGTTTCCTACAGATTAGTGATGCACCATTATGTAGTCTGGGACCCAAACACAGGTCACCTTTGAATTTTTATTATCTGGCATTTTCCCCTCTTCCAGATTCAAGAACACTGCTTCTATGTTTTTACCTCATGATCTTTATATTGAGCTTGCATTACAATTTAAACAAAATTTTTAAAAACACACATTTTTTAAAAATCTTGGAAGTAACAAAACAAATAACTTTTCCAAACATTTTACTTTCACATGGCATTTTTTCCCCCCCTCATCCTTTATCTGTACTTTTGTCAATCCCAGCTCTTCTGAACAGGAACCTTTTTCTTCTCCATTTGTATTATCATTTACTCTTTACTGCACTAGCACCTCAATAAAGAAATATATTTTTATGTAACTTTTTAGCTTTTTAAAAAAGAAAAGGCAAAACCAAATTATGGGCAATTGCACATGAGATAAATGAGTTTGTTTAAAAAGCTTTTGAATCTTTTTAACTCCTGTGTTCAGCCATGCAATAATGAACCAATTCCTGCTACAATATATGCAGTCACAATTGAAGTAAACCTTTAAAAATGATCTTACTAGAAAGGTACAAGGTATAAAAGTAGCCAAAATAAACAATGAAAGAGAGAAATAGATACAGAAAACTGCAATATCTAAGTATACTGCATTTTTTGATTAATTGGGTTTCTCACCTAAGCCTTGAAAATATTAAAATCAACCTTTTGTATATGAGGAACTATCAAACAATCTGACGAGTATAGTTTCCAGGTAATATTTAAATAGTTGATGACTTGCGCATTAGAAGACTTCACTGCAAGATTTTTTTAAATTTGCATTAAAAATAAATACAAAATCTATGTGAACATTAATAGTCTAGATTTTTTCACATACATGAAAAACCTCAGTTAATTTATTTTCAGTCTAAAATCCACACAAGAGAAACTTGGGAAATTATTTTTATTTGTATTCAGCTCCGCTGATGGCAGCAATGCTGGGGAGTCCCGCTATAGATCTATCACGGTGAAAGGACCACACAAACAGGAGACATTCACTATACTGTGGAACCAAAGAAAATGAATACATACCAAGTATATAGAAAGAGAATTTTATTTTAAACTTTCAGTTATACTACTTTTAAGTTTTAATTTTTAACATTAGTAGGTAAAACAGTTTTGTGAGAAGTTTAATGAAGTAATGTCCCTTTAGTTGTGGTTGCAGAATTGTATATATTTTTGTCAAAAGGTCAGATCCTGTGACTAGCAGTTATATTTTAAAGTATACAAGTCTCATTGTGTATTTAAACTGTCCTGAGTGCATCTCTCACTTGATAAAACTGTGGATTCCTGTTGGTTACTGCAACACGGCTGTATGTCTGGGTCAATATTTAATTGATTGCCACATGTTAGTTTTAAAAACAAACGAACAAAATAAAAAAAATCCTTAAACATCCTTTCCCCTCTAATTTTGTTGTTCTTCAGTATGCATTCAACCCACACTTTGGCAGAGTTTTTAAAAACTATTTCCCATTCCAGAAATCTCCTTATTTTTTAATAATCAGTTAAAAATTTAATTGAATTAAAACTGTGATGTTAAATCTGTATTTTTGTTTTTAGATAACTACATTAGGCAACCTGACACCTTCAAGCACTGTATTCTTCTGTTGCGATATGCAAGAAAGATTCAGACCTGCTATCAAATATTTTGGTGATATCATCAGTGTAGGACAACGATTGGTAGGTTTACTGATTTTTCTCCCTCTCCCCTCCCCCCCACTGCAGTAACGACAAAAATCTTTGCAAATTGTCATCAATGCACAGATACTACTGGTGTCTTATAGAGGCCAGATGTAAATACTATACGTTCACCCCTCTCATGCTTAAATAACTGTTTTATTCTCGTGGATTTGTTTTTCCTTGCAGGTCCAGGGTGCACGGATTTTAGGAATTCCAGTCATTGTGACAGAACAGTATCCCAAAGGCCTTGGAAGCACCGTGCAAGAAATTGATTTAACAGGAGTTAAACTTGTGCTTCCAAAAACAAAATTTTCTATGGTATTGCCAGAAGTAGAAGCTGCCTTAGCGGATATTCCTGGAGTCCGCAGTGTTGTCTTGTTTGGAGTAGAAGTATGTACTTGTTTGTTATAGTACTGCATTATTACTGTAGTATGGTTCAAAATGTGTTTATATATTGATGTCTACGCAAAGCTGTGTAATAGTCCAGATACCACTTAAAGGTTAAATTGTTTGTGATCATTTCAGTTGTTCAGAGCGGATAATCTTGTAAGATACTTAGATACTTATAAATTGAGTTTACAAGGTCAGATTTTGTAATTATGCAGTTTGCATTCAAAACTCCCATTGAATTAATTAGTAATTTAATGTTTAGGAAAATTATAGGATTGATCCCTAATTTAATCTTGTACAGTAGTTCCAGGTAATCCTGTAAATACTTTTATAATGCTGGTATTTTTCTGACAGACTCACGTGTGCATCCAGCAAACAGCGTTGGAATTGGTTGGCAGAGGTGTGGAAGTTCACATTGTAGCAGATGCCACCTCATCAAGAAGTATGATGGACAGGATGTTTGCTCTTGAGGTAACATGCATAATTTAGATAGACTTTCTTCTACACCTTGGTTCTATATTTGGTTCTCTTATTGTTACAAACCATTGAGAAAGTCACAAGCATTACAGCAAGTGAATAACTCAGTGAGAGGTGTTAGTTATGTAGTCATCCACAGAATAGGTCACCAAGCAACAGAAGGGCCAGGATTTTTTTAAAAACTTAAATATTTTGGTGACGTGTGTCTACATGCAGAGCACTGGGTTGGGAACATCAGGTCAGAATTTGGGAGCTTCTCATGAAATGTTGGACATTCTGCAAACTACTGACTTTTCGTGGCCCCTTGGGTGACCTTGTAAGACCGAATTCTCTATGAAACTGTATAAAAATACTATACAACTTTTTATAGTTCAGAATGGTATTTTGCTCGGCATGCTACTGTTGTTGCCGCTTTGTACTTTGAAGTGTGTTTCAGTTCTGAAGCGCCTTCTAATGTGCCCAAAAAAAAAAAAAAAAAAGGGCAGCAGCAAATTCAGTAAAACTCCTATTTGCCTCTAAGGAGCTAAAAAGCTTTAAATTCCATATTTTAAAAAAGTTTCATTATCACAATTAGAAAAATTCTGGTAGTCCAACTGAATATGCTACAAATGTTGCAAAAGTGACAATACATAAAGCTAGAAAATTTTAAAAGTGCAGCTGCATTTCATACACAACTTCATGGTGGTTTTATGGAAAACAAGCACTCTAACTAGCCTGCAAGCTTAATTGTTGTGTTAAAAATCCAAGATGGAAAAGAGAACTGTATCTGCACTAAACATGGGAATTTTTGCTCTGGATTTTAGCAGAATAGTTGAAAATTAAACTCTTAAAATGAACAATAATTCCATAACTTTGTGCCAGTCACATAGAATCAAAAAAGGAGTTGCACACCTTCTATGTCTAGTAAAACTTTAGAGCTTAAGGAAAGTCAACAGTATTGAGCATTTGATAAAAATGCAGTAACTCTGATTATGTGCGAGCTTAATGAAATCTGCCACATAATGCATATGATGCACAAGGACTACTGTCAGAAAAATAAGTCACAGACTCCCCTGGAAACTAATGCAGTACAGTATTACTATTGCTTAATATGTTTAGTAAGAAAAGAACCAAAATTTTGGTGGTTTTGCTGTTGCTGTACATTTGCTTAGAACAAACAGCACATCTTTCATGTGCGCATGCGTGCACACACAAATCACAGTTCTGTGTATTGTAATAGATTTTGAATTGCCCTGGACAAGTCTTGGATTTTGTCCAGTCAAAATGGATCCATTATAATTATAAAAAAAGTAGATAGCTGCACTCACTCAAAACTCCTAGAAGGGCACTTCAGACAAATTAATTGGTTCTAGATAACTTTTTTTTATTTTTTTTTTAAGGAGTTTGGGGTAAATGTCAGTAGTTCTCAAAATGTAGTTCAGAAAGCACTTGCTGGTTCTTTGTGGAGAGCTGACAGGTTACATGTTACTGGCTCCTCTTCACTTCCAGCCACCTCTACAAGCTTTTAGTTTCCTTTTTGCAATGAAGAGCCTATATTAGGGCAGCTGCTTAATATTATAGGGGAGAGGAATTGAATGCTGCCCCCAGGGACCATGGCTGGGGAAATGGGGACCAGAAAACAGGAAGGCATGTACAGGAATGTTGTATGATCATGGGACTGATGTGTTCCATGATTTCAAAAAAATTGATAACCCCTGGTTTAGGCTAAATACACCATAGGAAGAAATATTTAAAGCCTTCAATTTTTTCCCTCTTTCACTGGATTTATAGGTTAAAGTTACCTATCCCATAGGGGAGGTGGTAGATTTAATTCATTAATATGTGTTGCTTCAGATATGCTTGCAAGTCTTTGAGATCCTCTAGTAGAGGGTACTATAGAACTACAAGCTATTATGTAGACACTTTAATACAATTTGATTCTAAATTATTGGTGTACAGTGCATTTAAAATTTTCAAATTAGACCCATATACACATCGAATGATTGTACTCTGTATAATGAGACACATTCTGGCATGAAACAGGAATAGTTCTTCACTCTATCCAATGTTAGTGTCAACCTTTTTTTCTGCTGCCCTCAGCCCTGTTTACATTCCTCCACTCTGTGCAGATTACTCCTTCCTCATGATGGGGTATATATGGTGACTGCCCTGTAATGTTTAGATTCTGACCAAGAAGAATCCTGCATGAAACCTGAGTGTAGCTAGAACTGAGGAAGACCACTTTTATTCCATGGTCTCCTCTTTTGTTGTTACTTCTCATATATATACAAATACATGTAGCCCCATTTAGAATTCAGTCCTGCATGTTGAGATATTTTTGTCATCATGAAGAAAGCTCTAAAAGAAAATTGTTTTACAATAAGTTAGGTTTTTGTTATGCTTGAACAAGTATAAGTAATCAGTTAAGCAGCAAAATTTTTGAATGCTAACAAGCTATCTTGAGCCTCCTGTTAGTTTCCTCAGTTGCCAACATAAGTGGTAGTGTGTACAAGCCCTAAGGCTATGTCTACACTACAGCTTATGTCAGCAGAATGTATGTTGTTCGGGGTGTGAATAAACCACCACCTGAGTAACATAAGCGACACTGTGGACAGCGCTATGTCAGTGGGAGAGCTCGTGGAAGTGGTTTTATCGTGCCAATGGGAGAGCTCTCTCCTGTTGGCATACAGCGTCTTCACCAGACACGCTGCAGCAGCGAAACTGTAGCTCTATACATGTAGACGTGTCCTAAGTCTTTTCCCAAGACATTTAATAGCCCATTCTATGGAAAAAACAGTTCCTCCTCTTGGGCTAAAGAGGTTAATGGTTTCCTAAAATCGATCTGCAAAGCTAATGGTTAGGTCATTTACACTTTTACTAGCCATTATAGAGAAGAGGCATATACCTTTGCATATGCTACTTTCAGAACCCTTTAAGCCCGCAAGATAGTGACCATTATGCCTCAACTCTTCACAAGGTGAATTTTACCCTCAGCATTTTCTTCTCTTAAATGTATTTCTTTAACAGCCCACTCTCAGTTGCTATTCTGTTTTAATGACACATGCATTACTGACATGAACACAGATTTCAGCTATACTTCTGAAATGTAGTTCTGGTAGTGTTTTATCATTTGCATTTTTTGGATAAGGATTTTTGTTTTTTCTTTTAAGTGTGAGTGAGTCTTCTCTTTTTCCCTAGCCAGTTTTCATTCCATTCCAGCTCCCATTTGTAACTTTTTCCTACTAGTTAGTGCTCTGATAATCATTTTGGGAATTTCAATTGGAGCCTCAAGTCTACCTGTTTGGCGCTTAAATTCTGCTATTTCATTTGCTGCTTGTATCTGTTTAAGTATATGACCCAGAGAAAATGTATCTGTTGTTGTTAGATACTGAACATTTCCATGAGAAATACTCTACCAAACATTACCAGTAATGTATTTTAAAATCTTTAACTGTGCTATGCATATTCTGTTTAATTTAAAATGTGTGACCGTCATGTGGATTAAAGTTGTTATATATGTGGAGAATGCACTGCTTTTTTGCAATTTAAGATTAAAACTTGCAGCCGTGTTCTCATGCAGAAAGTATTAACTTGAAGGAAACAATCTGCATTTGTCCATTGTTTTACAAACTCCATGCTTACTGCATAAGGTATGACGCTTAGCTAAAAATAGTGATTTCCCTCATACAAAGATTACTACAATAATGTGGGGGATATGAATATAGGGATGCTTATCCCACAACTGCCTAATCTAGCTACCAAGGGGTAAAGATCCCAACCCCTCATAATAGGTTAGGGTACTTTTTTCCTCCATTGCTCACAATACAGGCTAAATATAAGCTTTGCATTGTTAATAAAAATTATTGCTGTCTGACTAATGTGAGTGAATTACAGTCAACAGCTAAGGCTTGTAAAAGAGTCTTTCTCTTTTACTTTCACGAGACTATACTGTGCCCTGGAACCAGCAATCTCATGAACAGGGTATTGGATAGTATCTAACAACCTCTGAAAAAGGAAATTCATCTTCAGTAGCAGCTAACTTATTTTCTTTATAATAATGCGTCTTACCTACATAGCACCTTTTATCTGAGGATCTCAAATTTTTTAAAACTGGATGAGATAAGCTTTTCAAAACCGCTGTGTTGTCGGAAGGCATATAATCCTCACTTTATGTATGGGGAAACATTCACATAGAGGGAAGTAACATGCTTAAATTCACATAGAAGATCTGAACTGGAGAAAGAAACCCTTCTGAATACAATGCTTTAATCCAAGACTGTCCTTCCCCCTAATATTCCATAATAAAATGGTATTGACTTTCTCCTTCCCCCACCCCTCTTAATTCTCACCAGCCTCCTGGTTTTATCCTTCCCATCCATAAATACTGGGGGCAAAACAGCACAGGTTTTATTGTTTAGTGAATATTTTAATAGTATTCTCCATTTGGTATATTGTATGTGCTTATCCACACTTGCAAGGATCTCACCTTTTTCTGTCTCTGTTCTTTTCTCTTTTAGCGTCTTGCTCGCACTGGAATAATAGTTACCACTAGTGAGGCCATCTTGCTGCAGCTGGTAGCTGATAAAGATCATCCAAAATTCAAAGAAATTCAAAACATCATTAAGGCAAGTGCTCCAGAGTCAGGGCTCCTTTCCAAAGTATAAAGAGGGCTTTTTGAAAGAGCAGCACATTGTCATCTTTAAGGCAGAACTAAAGTTGTAAACAGACATGCGTGCACGCTCTCACACCAGCTTCAGTAGAAATATAAAACTAAAAATTGGCGTATTTGTGCTTGCCTTAGAAATATTTGTCTGGGTGCCAGTGTGTTCTGTTTAATCACAGCTGTCAAAGACATTGAGTACCATGAGATGCTTTTATTGTCAGACGTTCTATTATTTATTTAAAAAAAACTTAACAGAGGTGCCTGTTAGTCTGTACTGTATCCACTGATTGTTACACTTCTCCAAAAAGTGCACATTTCTGTGAAATCTCTCTTGATTGTTCACTTTGTAAAAGTGTACTGTGATATTCTGCTTCAGTTTTGTATTGATCGAGGTAAATGTGATGTGATAATATGCTTTAACTTTGTGCATAAATTAAACTATTTTAATAGAGAATTTCAATAGTATAAAATAGATGGACTACATGTTTACATTGTCTGTCTGTCTGTCTGTCTTTTAGAATAAAAGCTAAATGCTTTGCTTATTCAGTAAACAAGCCAAGTAGCTCAAGCAACAATCTAGGCTTAATTATTTTGGGTGGCTGAAGTGGACTATGTTGATTATTCCAGACTTTTGACTCCCTAATCCTGTTTTAATGTTCTGTACTTCAACTACAGGTTCCAGGAAGCAATCATTGGGTCACTGCCCCTTTCAAAATTATAAAGAAATCTGTCAATTTGTTAATGAGATGATCTAAAAGATTGGTTTATAGTAATTCACAACTAGTGGGAGACTACTAGCATTTAAAATTGAAAAACAAATCTTAAACGCTTTCAGTTTCAATTACTAAAGGCTAATTATTTCTAGAAATGTCCTTGGATTTTTTTAATCCTTGTATGACTAGATTTAATAAACTCCATCTGGTTTCTGCATTAAGCCAAGCAAGCCCTGAAAAAAATAATCAACTTTTCTAGTCTGTTGTAGACTTCTGCAGCACTGATGTTGGAATTTGATTGGAATCTAGCCTAAAAGCGTAATTTAAAAAGGGACATCTGCAACTTGTTGCTATATATTTTGTAGCTGGAACTTTAACACGATTGTTCCTCTTGAAGGCACCTTCTTCATGTTCAAATGGGTTAAAAAATGTTACATAATGTTTACAACAAGAATGTAACTTTAGAACCTTTAAGGTGTTTTTTTTGTTTGTTTTTAAGTAGATGAAACAAAATATTGAACACTGATCTTTTGGGTATAAAACTAATTACAGTAAATGTATTGTTTGAAATGATTTATTTTCCTCACAAGATGGCTCTAAAAGAATTTTATAACCTTTATATGTTTAAAGCAAATAAAATGTTAACATTTACTGTCTCTCTTACTCTTGTGGTATTTGTGGAATGGAGAATCCTAAAAGCTATTATTTACCATAGCTCTTATTCTAGATTGTGCTGCCTGTAAAATTTCCATAGATGTCATGGAAATTTGGTGCAAAGATTAAGAGCAGAGTGTGGCCTAATAGTTTTGCTTATGTTATTTAGATAACTTATTTTGTGCTCTAAAATTTGAAGAATGATCACCACTCTTGTGGCTTGAGGCAGGAAAAGGAGAAGAAAGGAAGAGTTGAAGAAGCCATTGTTCCATATCACTGACCTACTTTTACCTTTTTTTTGGGGGGGGGGGGGGGGGGCTGCTATATTAATCATTCTGTATAGCAGAGTAAAGCCCACTTATATAAATCAACAGCTGTGCACAAAAGTACTATAAATATCTCATGAAATATTATTCTGTTTCTTCAGTATTTATACATTTATATTACCTGTGGTAGTGAGGAGGGGGAAATTTCCAACAATATCTTTTATGCATATAAATTTTTGGAGAGATGTTGCCACCTGCCAGAGCACCATATTTTATGTTGGAAACACAAGCTGGTATTTGTAGTTGATTGTTAGTAAAACCAAACCATTGGAGCCACACTGCCAGGATGAGCCACAGGGACCCTAGAGCCTGAGCAGTGTCTCCTCAATCTCCAGCAGATCTCAGAGATCCATAAGGTTTGTGGACTGGATCCATTGTTTGTGTGCCAGGGTTTGGGGGAAACTAAACCCTCTCCCCTTCCCACAGATAGGGAAAAATATTGGAGGAAACACTATGAGAACTCCACAGAGATTTCCTTTCAATGGATCCCATCCCAATGATTTTACCACAAGAGAGGTCAATCAGGAATAATAAAGGAAAACACTAAAGAGGATCCTTATAAACTAATTCATATTACCAACGATGCCTATTTGTACCTAGTATATACTTGCTGAATTTATAGATTTCGCCTTTAAAAATGTTAATTTTTAAAAGCCCCCACTTATGTTTTTTCCTAAGTTTAAAAAAAACCATGCAAAAGCATACTGAGTGATAGCGTCATATAAATGAGTGCTTGCGTGTGAAGTGAGGCACGAGGTGAATCAAATTGCTGTCTTTCACTTGAGACTTGTTAATCAGCACAATTGGATTGTCTGGCATGTCTTAGGGTATGTCTACACTATGAAATTAGGTTGAATTTATAGAAGCCGGTTTTATAGATATCGGTTTTATACAGTCGATTGTGTGTGTCCCCACATAAAATGCTCTAAGTGCATGAAGTCGGCGGACCGCGTCCACAGTACCGAGGCTAGCGTCGACTTCCGGAGCGTTGCACTGTGGGTAGCTATCCCACAGTTCCCGCAGTCTCCGCCGCCCATTGGAATTCTGGGTTAAGATCCCAATGCCTGATGATGCAAAACAGTGTCGTGGGGGGTTCTGGGTACATGTCGTCAGGCCCCTCCCCCTCCATCAGAGCAACGGCAGACAATTGATTCGCACCTTTTTACCTGGGTTACCTGTGCAGACAACATACCACGGCAAGCATGGAGCCCGCTCAGCTCAGCTCACCGTCACCATATGTCATCTGGGTGCCGGCAGACGTGGTACTGCATTGCTACACAGCAGCAGCTAATTGCCTTTTGGCAGTAGACGGTGCAGTATGACTGGTAGCCGTCATCGGCTATCTGGGTGCTGGCAGACGTGGGGCTGCATTGCTACAGAGCAGCAGCCCCTTGCCTTTTGGCAGTGGATGGTGTATTACGACTGGTATCCGTCATCGTCGTATTCCTCAGTGAGTTCAATCAGAGGAACCTGGGCAGACATGTTTTGTCTCCTGGCCTATTGAACCGTCTTGACGATGATGGCTAGCAGTCGTAGTACGCTATTTTCTGCCAAGCGCCCGTCACTTGCTCTGTTCAGCCCGCGATTCATCCCGCCACCTCTCCTCTCGTTCATATTGTGCTTTTTTGCACTCTGACATTGACTGCCTCCACGCATTCTGCTGTGCTCTTTCAGCGGGGGGAGGACATCTGGAGCTCCGTGAACATATCATCCCGAGTCCGCCGTTTTCTCCTTCTAATCTTCGCTAGCCTCTGCGAAGGAGAAACATTTGCAGCTGGTGGAGGAGAAGGGAGAGGTGGTTAAAAAAGACACATTTTAGAGAACAATGGGTACACTCTTTCACGTTAAATATTGCTGTTCACATTACACAGCACATGTGCTTTCGTTACAAGGTCGCATTTTTCCTCTTATATTGAGGGCCTGCCGGTTTGGTGTGAGAGATCACTCACGCAGTGCCAGGCAACAGAATTCGGCTTGCAGGCAGCCATGGTAAGCCACAGTCTTTTGGCTTTTTTAACCTTCATAACATGTGGGAATGGTTTCAAACAGCAGCACCCTCATTTCCCATACCAAGGACCCATTGGGTTGGCCATTTAAAGTGGGTTTGCAATGTAAAAGGAGGGGCTGGGGTTTCCGGGTTAACATGCAGCACAAACCCAACTACCCCTCCCCCTCCCGCCCCACAATTCTCTGGGATGATCATTTCACCCCTCCCCCCACCGCGTGGCTAACACCGGGGAACATTTCTGTTCAGCCGAGCAGGAACGGGCACCTCTGAATGTCCCCGTAATAAAATCACCCCATTTCAACCAGGTGACCGTGAATGATATCACTCTCCTGAGGATAACAAAGAGAGATAAGGAATGGATGTAGTCTGCATGCCAGCAAACACCGGGACCATACGCTGTCATGCTTTGTTATGCAATGATTCCAGACTACGTGCTACTGGCCTGGCGTGGTAAAGTGTCCTACCATGGCGGACGGGATAAGGCAGCCCTCCCCAGAAACCTTTTGCAAAGGCTTTGGGAGTACATGAAGGAGAGCTTTCTGGAGATGTCCCTGGAGGATTTCCGCTCCATCCCCATACACGTTAACAGACTTTTCCAGTAGCTGTACTGGCCGCGATTGCCAGGGCAAATGAATCATTAATCATTAAACACGCTTGCTTTTAAACCATGTGTAATATTTACAAAGGTACACTCACCAGAGGTCCCTTGTGTGCCCTCAGGGTCTGGGAGCACGCCTTGGGTGAGTTCGGGGGTTATTGGTTTCAGGTCCAGGGTGATAAACATATCCTGGCTGTTGGGGAAACCGGTTTCTCCGCTTCCTTGCTGTGAGCTATCTTCATTGTCTTCATCATCATCATCATCTTCCGCGTACCCCGAACCCGCTTCCCTGTTGCGTGTTTCTCCATTGACGGAGTCAAAGCACACGGTTGGGGTAGTGGTGGCTGCACCCCCTAGAATGGCATGCAGCTCCGCGTAGAAGCGGCATGTTTGTGGCTCTGTCCCAGACCTTCCGTTTGCCTCTCTGGCTTTGTGGTAGGCTTGCTTTAGCTCCTTAATTTTCACGCGGCACTGCTGTGCGTCCCTGTTATGGCCTCTGTCCTTCATGGCCTTGGAGACTTTTTCTAATATTTTGCCATTTCGTTTACTGCTACGGAGTTCAGCAAGCACTGATTCATTTCCCCATATGGCGAGCAGATCCCGTACCTCCCATTCTGTCCATGCTGGAGCTCTTTTGCGATCCTGGGACTCCATCATGGTTACCTGTGCTGATGAGCTCTGCGTGGTCACCTGTGCTCTCCACGTTGGGCAAACAGGAAATGAAATTCAAAAGTTCACGAGGCTTTTCCTGTCTACCTGGTCAGTGCATCTGAGTTGAGAGTGCTGTCCAGAGCGGTCACAATGAAGCACTGTGGGATAGCTCCTGGAGGCCAATAACGTCGAATTCCGACCACACTACCCCAAATCCGACCCACAAAGGCCGATTTTAGCGCTAATCCCCTCGTCGGAGGTGGAGTAAAGAAACCGGTTTAAAGGGCCCTTTAAGTCGAAAGAAAGGGCTTCGTCGTGTGGACGTGTCCAGGCTTAATTCGATTTAACGCTGCTAAAGTTGACCTAAACTCGTAGTGTAGACCAGGCCCTAGTGAGATTCTAAAACTGATTTAAAAATTTCATTGCCCAATTTTGTGCCTAGGGGAACAAAAATGAGAAGAAAATTTTGCCCTAATTTCTTCATGCAGTTACTCAGCTGCACTATTCTGTTCTCCATGCATCTGTGGATTGTTGGTTGACATTAATAGACATATTTGCAGAGTAAAATATCAAAGATGAAGGAGTAGGAAAGGAGGTCTAAGGACTTCGTTATTTTCAGAGGTGCTGAGCTTCCGCAGTTCCCTCTGAAAATCGGGCTCTACACCTCTGGCAGGGATGCACAACAAAAATGTCACCTTTGATTTTAGTTTTAAAAGCTTGATGAACTATATGGTTTTTAAATGTTACTCCCTCCCTTCTTTCAAATGCAACGTTGTATTGCCATTAATTTATCTTCTCTCCCCCACAAAATGATTTGTCAGATTATTTTTGTAACTGAAATCTTTCACCCGAAGCTGTTTATTGCTGTTCACAAAATGATACTTGCCCAGCTATTTAATCTAAGATATTTTTAGCACAGCTATTAGTGTGAATGGAAGAGTCAAGCCATGAGATAAAACACCTACTTGAAAAAACTGAACTGTGTCATAAGGCTAAAGCATAGTCATGGAACAATAAAAGCTAATCACAGTCCAGGCTTTTTAAAGCCCACTTCATAATTTTCTAATGGTCCTTGTATTAGATGTAAAAATACATATGATCCTTTAGCCTAATCTTTTTTATTAAAACAAGTCTATACTGATCTAATACTGTTATCTTCTGTAGTAAAAAGATCCCACAATCTAATTAGTCATAAAGTTATAGTTTTACCTAAATGAATGACCAT